GCATCGATTAACAATTTAATTTATATTATAGTAAATTTGCCATTTCGTATTTTAAGTGTTGGATATAACATTGATTTTACAATTGAATCAACATTTTGGTGTAAATTCAGAAATTATCAATATGTAATGCTCGGTCCAATATCTTATACTTGTATTTGTTTAGCAACAATTGATCAATATTTTGTTTCATCATTAAATCCTCATATTCGACATATGAGTAATATCAAATGGTCTCATCGAATATTAATTATTATTATAATAATATGGTGTCTTCATGCTATTCCTGTTTTTCTTTATGTAAATAATGTTCCACCAAATTCAATATGTATAAATGCTAATGCAATTTATCGTGTTTATATGACAATCTTTGGTGTTGTATTTCTTTGTGCAATTCCTGTAGGAATTTCTCTTATCTTTGGATATTTAACTTATCAAAATATTCAACAAACCAAAACTCTTGTTGAACAACATGCTGATCGACAAATTATTCGAATGACATTCGTTCAAATTCTATTGATGATCATAGCTGATGTTCCTTATACAGTTTTTTCAATTTATCTTTCAATTACCAATCAAAGATTAAAAAGTTATGATCAACAAGTCAATGAATATGTTATCATGCAATTTGCGATGCTTATTTCTTATATTTGTTTTGTTGTAAGTTATTTCATATTCAATACAAATTCTATTGAATTATTTCATATTTTAGGCTAATTTCTATATGTTTTGGATTTCATCAAGTCGATTTCGTCAAACAGCAAAGAAAAAAATTATTTTGTTGGAAGAAAGAGTCGATTGTATTTCCATCACATACATAATTATTTATGAAAAAAAAACAAAGAATCAAGAAACATCTTCATTTGAATTTTTCTTGTCTATGTTTATATTTATCGTAGATTTTTCTTTGATTATGAAAAAGGGAAAAGAAGATTTATTCTATAAAATAATCCAGATTGAAAGTCAATGAAAATACTTTAATAAGAAAATAATTCATTAAATCCTTGAATTCTTGATAATCTTTTCATAAAGATAAACAAAATTTCAATAAAAATAGATAGAAATTAAATTGACAAATTTCAAACGACGATTGTTTATCTCTGTCGATTCTTGTCATTTTTTATTTCATAGAAAAGATTTCATTTGAAGATTATAATAACAAATACTTCGAAGTGAATCGTTTTCAATAATTATTTGTAAGACAAATCTATGAGAATTTATTTGTTTTTTGAAAAAGATCAAATATTGAACTGGATCATAACTTTGATAATGCAAAATATTTAATCATTTCTATTGAAAAAAATACAAAAGAAATATGTTAATGTATCATTTCTAAAGACTAAAATACTTTCTGATTAATATAATTATTAGAGAAATATTCTTTTATTTTATTCATTCGACTATCTACAATTGTTATTTTTTCATTATTGGAATTTTCAAAAATAAGAAACCTTTTGAATATTTATCTTTGTTCTAAAATTAATTTTTAAAATAATTTCAATACGAATCCAAAATATAATATTGATAAAATATGTTTCATTCGAAAAACTTTTATTTTTGAAACTGTTTGATTCTGTTTTCGATACAATTTATTTGATAAAAAAAAAAGGTTAAATTTTGATTAGTTTTTGAAGAACAAAAGTGATAAGATAAATTAGAATTAAAAGAATANAATTATATTTGTGTTAATCTTATTTATAATATAGAAAGAAAAAATGTTCCATAAAACGAATTATTTCTTTTATAATTATTATTATATTTATTAGTATCGCAATAGCTATAATTTTGTTTGGGTTATTATTTAAATCGAAAAAACAAATAACATCAAATTCTGGTAAGATAAATATATTGTAATATGAAACTATCTAGAGATTTTGTAGGTTTTATACCTGTATTGAGATGGAATAGTACAGGAATCACAGTTGCAGGTGTAGTTAATGTATTTGGTAATGGTAGTAATCAATTAAATCAACCTAGAGATATTAGATTTCTTCATCCAAATATAATTTATATTGCTGATTATGGCAATCATCGAATACAGAAGTATGAACTGGGTAATTTGAGTGGTGTAACTGTTGCTGGTGAAACTAATGGATTGGGAGGTTCATTATCTAATCAATTAAAAAATCCATCATGTATATTTATTGATTCATCTAATGGTATTTATGTATCTGATTCAGGAAATAATCGTGTTCAATATTGGTCTAATGGTGCACTAACAGGATTTACTATGGCTGGTAGTTCTACAGGTTTATCTGGAAATACAAATAATACATTTAATGATCCAGTAGGTCTTGCACGTGATGACACAACAGGTACACTCTATATTGCTGATTTCGGTAATAATCGTGTCATGAGTTATTTATTCAATGCATTGTCAGGAACTTTTGCTGCTGGTAGTAGCACTTTTGGTATTGGAGTAACACAGTTATGGAAACCAGCTGGTTTATATTTCGATATACTATCAAATAGTCTTGTAATTGCTAATCATAATGCTCAAAATATTGTTCGATGGATTCTTGGTAAAAGCAGTTGGACACTTGTTGCTGGTGATGCTAATGGAGCATCAGGTACTAATGCTACACTATTTAAAAATCCTCAACAAATGACGTTTGATCCAATGGGTAATATGTATGTTGTTGATAAAAGTAATCATCGTGTGCAATTATTCATAAGTGGATCAAAAGAAGGAATAACAATAGCTGGTGTTACAAATTCAGCTGGTTCTTCTGCTACACTACTTGATACACCTTACGGAATTGCATTGGATAATCAACTCAATTTATACATTGCAGATACTTATAATCATAGAATTCAAAAATTCCTACGTTATTGAGGATATGAATATGTCATCTTTTCACAGACTTATATTCTCCCATCATCATCATAGTCTAAAAAAATATTCATTTATTAAAGAATAAAGTTCGATCTGTCAATTACATTCACACAGACGCATTTGATTTAATCGTTATTTTATTCACATAGATTTTTCTCGCTTTTATCACATGTAATGTGTTATTTTTTTGCAGCATTATATCGTCTCTTCTTTACTTTCTCTTGTTAATTATATTGAATTTCACTTGAGAGCATAAAATAGTTGAAAAAGATGTTAACCATATCGATTTATCTTCAAAATGACTCAATTCATTGAATTAATAGGGATAAATATTATCTTCATCATTTTCCAATACGTTCTTCAAAAATTTTGCCATTATTTTATTAGCAATTACGTGATGTTCCAATATTGTCGTACATTGTGAGTTTAAAAGAATATTATTATACTTGTGTATTTTTCATTTACTTATCAATTAAATTGATTCTTTGAATGTTGTTCGTAGTTTTGTATATTTATTCGTGAAAGTTTGTATCCAGATGGAAAATATTTAAAGCATTAGACAAAATTGTCGATTTCGATGATGTTGAAAACATATACTTAAAAATTTTTGAAATCACTGCTCAAGCTAATCCAATTGAAAATGATTGTTCATATTTTCCAGCTAATAGTCAATATAATTAATCATAGGTCTTTTCTTCGTTTATAATTGTTCTTTTTATAATGTGACGTAGCGTCATTTTGACTATTTCAAAGAATATTTCGAACAGATAGTATTTAAAATTTATTATATTGAATCTTTTATGTGTCGAGCAAATGGAAGTAATAACAAACGATGGAAATGATCATCTGAGAAGTATTTATCGACTATGTACGTAGATATGACTCGTTTCTTCTTAATCATTCAAATTTCATTAAATTTGAAAATTATTTCTTTCTTTTTAAAAATTTCATATCAACTTATAGAAAGAAAAGAAAATTAGTTAGCTAATTTGAGCTTATATTTTGTTAAAACAAATTGTAATTTATCTCTTTTTTGAAAGAATCTTATATCATCTTTAATCCATATGTCTATCCAAAACCGACGAATTACATACAATCAGGATCTGTAAGTTATTTATCTTTGCAAGAAAAAAGATTTCATTTGTCTTATATGTCATTGATAGATTTTCTAATGATATTGACATTCTTTCTACTGATATGAACTCAAAACATAATTAATGAAGAAGATTTTTATACATTTTGCAAAGTATTTCTTGCTTTTTCAAACATCGATCATTATTCTTTAAAAAATAACACAACAGGGCAAAAGATAAATTTATGACAGAACATATATTTTTTTTCAACTAAAAATACATGTGAGATACTAAAGGAAAATGGATCTTTTCATTTTGTGATCCTTATATTTTTATGGATGTGAATCGAGTCAACAAAATGAATATCCAGAAATCGATTTCGTTCATTGAACACATTGAATCACTTCATACCCTAAAGACATAATCTTTACCAGAGAAAACTTTTCATTTCGAGGGTGAAATACTTTTAGTAAAACAATCCCATTCTACAATTATATTATTTGTTACTTTCTATGATAATAAACTCATTCATGGTTCAACGGAATTTACAAACATACAACGCAGCTCACAAACAAATGTTAACATTTAACTTTTAGTCTTTAATCAATAAACATAAAATATTTCAATTGAAGGGATAAATTTACAGTAAAGAATATTTTTTACATCGTGAAAATGAAGTAATCAATAAAGAATATCAATGTTTAAAATGTTAAGATTTGTTGAATTATTTTTCAAAAGATTATCAAAATAAGTTCGCACTCTATGATGTACATCATCGATTGCAATAACATTTTCTGAATTGGAATAATTTGCACCAGCACTAACAAAACCATGTTTCATATTTTCATAAACTTTATATTCACATTGACTACCGAATGATTTTTGATTTAGAATTGATGTTATATTATCAAATGATGGATCATTTCCAGCACGAATAAATAACATTGGAACTTGAAGTACTTTTGCATCAAATATATTGAGTTGAGATCCGTGAATACTAATACCAGTAAAATAAGGTGTTTCACTCCAAGAATTATTATTTCCATTTCCACATGCTTTCATTACTCGAAGACCACCCCAACAAAAACCAATTGGAGCTAATTTTGTATAATTTTCTGAATGAAGATATGCA